ACTTTGGACTCATCAAGATAAGATAGAATATGAAGTATTTTCTCTGAATTTGCCAAATGCAAATGGACTGGACATTGTGAATGTAGTTCTTACCTGATAATTGTTTTATTGCATATAGTTTTACAGTGTTAGAATTAAAGCCTTCTTTTTTTATTAAGACAAAAAGGGGGAAATGTTGTGGGATCTTTTGATCACACTCTGACACTCCCGAGACTGACAATAAAGTTTACTTTGAATCAGAGGGCAGAGATAGTTACTAGCTGACCAAAATTAGCCATAGAGGTTTTGGAGGACTGAGAACATATAGAGAAACACAAGTAGTAGTAAGGAGAGGTTTAGGAAGATTCTTGGCTGTGGTGATATATTGTGTACCCCAATAATGCTTGCCAGAGGATCAGAGGACAGAGCCAGCCACTAGATTAGACATAGAGGCCAGACAGTGGTGGCACACACCTTTAATCTTATCACTTTGGAGGCAGAAATCCGTCTAGATCACTATGAGTTCAAGGCCACACTGGAAACAGAGCCAGGCAGTGGTGGCACACACCTTTAATTCATGTACTGGGAGGCACATACACCTTTAATTCCAGGAAATGACAGCAGGATGGAGAAAGGTATACAAGGCCTGAGGAAACAGGAACTAAGGCAGTTCAGCTGAGACCCTTTCAGGTGAGGACTCAGAGGATTTCAGCCAGAGAATTCATGGAGTTGTGAGGTAATAGGTGGAGGCTGTGGCTTGCTCTACTTCTCTGATCTTTCAGCTTTTACCCCAATATCTGGTACTGGGTTTTTTATTATAAGACCATCTAAGATTTGAACAACTTCTTCTTGGATCGAGGAAGGAAAGAGGTCACTGGTCACTTCTACATCGCTTCTCTGATCATTCAGGTTCTTACCCCAATATCTGACTTTTGAGTTTTTATTAATAAAGAATAATTAGATAAACACTTCACCCTAGGGCAAGAGACAGGAGCAAACTCTTGAGGTGTGGATGTAGCAATATTTTCAGAGCTCTCTGTTGAACTCAGAAATACCTGAAAAATGTGGGTTGAAGCTTCAAAAGCAGAGTTTTAGTACCTTCTACATTTTATGTTTTTCTAAAAAAAAAATCAGTTCAGTCGAATTCTTCATTTTTTTATGAAAAATAAAGTGTCTGAGCCAAACCTGCAGTGTCACTATTTTGAAAGCCACATTTCCTGTATTTTGGGATTGAATACTTGCCAGGAGTACTACAAGCAAATGCAAAAACTCTCCATACTCTAACATTCTATATTATTCATAAAAGGGGAAGGGAATGTAGATATATCAGTAAGCCCTTGCAGTAATACATTTGTGAACAGAGTACCTATTGTCTTTCCAAATGAATTCTCTTTGTTCCCGGTAAAACACTTTTGATCATTTTCAAGAAGTTACAGCTTTTACTTTTTTTCAAGACAATCTCCCCAGAGGGAAAATGTCATTTAGTGAAACCCACAGTGCTGATGATTTCTGAATGACTTGTTTGTGTCCTGAGAAACTTGAAGTAGTAAAAACTGATGCTATTAAGACTTACTGATAAATGTGCTTAGGAAATATTGTTATACAAAGAAGAACTTAGCTAAAGGAGTACTGCCTCCATATGACTGGAAGATAAATAATATACTAACTAGACTTCTTGGAAACTGTAGGAAAGAAGTTTGTACTATAACGTTTAGGATTGCTGAGAAGTTTCTGCTAATGTTGATTCATCAAGATTGACCTCCACGTAGGCTCCACTCCCACAACAAAAGGAAACTACCCTGATTTATAACAGGCCATTAAGGCTCATATCACCCCTACCCGCCAATCAAAGAACATGCTTCTAAGCAGCAGCTCAAGGCAGTGGCAGTGCAGGGTTACAACCATCATTATGTCCTGGTCTACCATTAAGCCCACTGTAGGAGAAGCATAGTTTTTGTCAGGTGGGCCAGATGAATCTGGGTAACAGCTGTTAGAAAAGAACAGAACTGAAAAAATAATTCTGGCAGTATCTTTGCTAGGTAAATCTACCATCTTCCCAAGTGGTCAGACTTGAAATCTCTTGTCTCCATTTCAATTGTTCAAAGTGTACCCTGGGGCCAGGACCTAAAAAATGTTTAAGGATGGCAGTGTGAATAAAATGCATAAGCCTAAGGTGATATATATGATAGTAAAATCTTTTTGTTGCCGGCTCCTCTTTGGGCATTAGCTAAAGTTAGACATGAGTTACATTAAAGATTTCTTTCCTTATTAATCTTTAAGTGGGTGGAGTGATTCCTCACTGGGAAGGCATATCAATAATATGACAATATGAAGTGCTTATTTTCTTCTTCAAGAACAAAATTTCGGGGAAACTATTTTTAGTTTTATATCATAGAAGGCTGTGACTTGCAACTAACATCTGCATAGCCAAAGAATGTTTAGTATTGTTTTCATTACAACAGCAAAAGTACAAAAGATGACTTTGGTTAGCTTATTTTTAAACATTTGTTCTCTAACAGAACTTTAAACATGTACATTCATATAGTTCTATTCTAGCAATCAAAGATTTGTCTTTCTTTCATGATGTGTTTAATGATTTTAAAATGAAAACTTTACAATTTGATAAATATCAGATCATAAAAAGGTAAAGGGATCTTAACAATTAACATACAATCCAGTACAGAATGCACTTACCTGTAAATATTTGTGCAAATTAGGAAAAATCACCTTATAATTTGTTTTATACAACTTTCCTTAAAATAATTATATTTTATTCCAAAAAATGAATTTATTTTACACAACTTTCCTTAAAATAGTTTCCCTATTTTATTTCAAAAACGAATTTATTTTCTAATAAAAAGTCATCTTGGAAGGCTGTTGATAGATGACATGTTGATGCTATTTGATGCTTTAATTTTTCTATCTTGCCAAAAGTATGGAACAGATGATATAGAGTTTTATCTTCTGAAACCTTGTGAAATTCTAGCTTCCAAAATTTTCAATGGAATAAGAGATGTGTCTGTAAAAGTTGTAGTGATTATATGGTGCCTATCTATATTGGCTAATAAAATGAAACTATATTTTTGTAGACTATGTCCCCATCCTAATTGGGCTTTTGAGAAAAACCCCATAGACACATATATTCTTCATGAAGTTGTGTCTCTCACATTACCATATATATATATATATATATATATACATATACATATAGATTCAATAATACAGTATAAATAGAGAACCATACCCATGCAAACATCAACAGAGGTGAGAATACTAGAAACAGACTTAAGAACAAGGCAATCTATAGTCACTCTTTCAAAAATAACACAAATGAGATAGAAATTCAGTTACATAGTGGTAATGTTGAATGGAATATTTCTAACTTTCCCAGATGTGGATGAACTGTATTAGTCCTTTACAGGTAACTGGTATCTGGATTCTGGTGAATGTAGCATCAATGTTTTTACTATAACTGGTATAAACCAAATGATAGTTCATATAATTACCAGGTAACACTACCTTATTATTAATTCCTGCAACTGTCTCCATGAAATTAATTCCATCTTCTGCTTTGGGTGTATGTAGAAACTTTAGTGAGACATACTTCAGTTAAGAGCACATATTCAGTTTGCAGTAATCTATGAGAATTGGTCCTGTGATTAGAGTAGTAAGTTTAATGCAGATCATGCAAGTGCTGGCTTTCCTTGGAGTTAGCACCCTTCAGTTTACATTGCAAAAACAACTGGACAGAGAGGATAATACACAGTATTTATGCCCAAAGCAATTCCAACTTTGGAAAAGATATGGGGGCTCTTCAGTTGGAGCTTATTTGTCTAATAAATCAAAAAGATATTCTCTATCTATACAGTATAGTCACAGAAATTCAAAGCATATCAGTAACAATTTTTAGAAAAATATAAATACAGAATAATAAAGAAAAGCTGACAGATTCTTTCAATATTTGGGAATAAATATGTTCAATGTTATGTTTGACTTGAGTATTATTGAATAATAAACAGTGTATATGGCTATAAATTTTTTTGAAACAATCATAATTTATAAAAACCTATAATTACAAATTACAAAGAAGACAGCAGCCTCTCTTAGTAGTTATTTACTATGCATCTTGTTATCTATTAATTTTCTGTGCCATTACAAAATCCAATATTAAAATTTCATAACATTCAATACCATTTCATCTTTGAAATTTATCAAAATGATTAAAAATGGTCAACTAGAAAAAAGCAATGCACCAAAAATATTTCTAGGCCTCTCATTTTTTTTTTTTTTTGGTTTTTTGAGACAGGGTTTCTCTGTGTAGCCTTGCGCCTTTCCTGGAACTCACTCGGCAGCCCAGGCTGGCCTTGAACTCACAGAGATCCGCCTGTCTCTGCCTCCCAAGTGCTGGGATTAAAGGCGTGCGCCACCACCGCCTGGCAAGGCCTCTCTTTGTATTATTGGCCTGCAGACAGGAAAGGTACTGTTAATTTTTTTTTCTTTTACAGGGCACTTGATCCTGCATTCCAGGACCATGGAGATGCAGGCTAAGCAGATCTATTTTATACATGTTGACAGTGGAACAACAAAGCAGTCCAAGATAAGCTTACAAGTAACAACAACAACAACAACAACAACAACAAAAACCAACCAAACAACAACAATAACAACTTGACTTTGTCTGAATGCAAGTTCTGTCTCATTTTCAAAGCAGGACCATAGCTTAATGGCCACTTAGTTTCTCAGCTAAAATTCATAACTGCCACACAAACTAAAGCCCTATTTAGAAAAGAGCATTCCACCTGGGGAAACTACTCCAACATGATTAATGACTCCGTATCCCTTCTAATATGTTGCTAGGAGTGTTTTGCTGAGGAAGAAGGCAGCCTCCTGGAGATTCTGAGACAATTAGTCCTCTGGAAGCTGGCACTGGGCACATACTGGGATGGGAAGAATGGGAAAGGCAGGTCAGCCACAGTCACCTAAGAAGACTTTTAACTCATACTTCACTTTTGAGAGTAGTCCTAGAACTCTTCAGTTTTTGAGACCGTTGACTCATTTTTTTGGTGTAACTTTCTCTGCTGATGAACATGTATGGTTATGGCAGACACACAGAGCAAAATAAATATCACAACTGCTGTTATTCCTGGAGAGAGAAATGAAAAACACAAATCCGAATACTGAGCCCTGACTGGAGGCTTTGCTGATAGCATTAATCAGTAAGTTAGGTGAAGGCAACAGAATCAATACTGTGTGATATACTGGGTCTCCAAAACTCAGGAATTTTAAGGTCATGTGATTTTATGACAATCTGATGTCATTCTCAGCTATTACTACTTTGGGATAGATCTGCTGGGATTCTTCCCTAAGTTTGGTTGTATTTGAGCAAATGATTTTGGATTTAAAAACAAAAACATATACAATTTTCTAAGACCACGTGTACTCTTTCAGAAACTGGAGGGAAGTTTTAAATTGTTTAAAAAGTATCTAGTGCTTAACACTAAAGTAGAGTAAATGTTACTGTTAGTCTAATTAAATTAAATAGTACATTTTGCTGATTGTGTGTGTGTGTGTGTGTGTGTGTGTGTGTGTGTGTGTGTGTGTGTGTGTGATGCAGATATGCAAGTATCATAGTATACATGAAGAATTCAAAAGACAACCTTGAGTGTCATCCTTTGTCTTCCTTTTATTGAGACAGTTTCTCACTGTTCACTGCTATGTATGCCAGGCTAACTGGCCCTTGGCCTTCAGGATTCTTCTGTCTCTACCCCCAAGCTTCTTTTAGGAGTATAAAGACATATTATAGACACATACTACTGTGTCTGACTTTTAGGTAGATTCTGGAAATGGAAACTCAGGTCCTCATGCTTATATGGTAAATACTTTATCTACTGAGACATTTTACCAGTCTATGAAATTGTTTTAAATACCTTCTATGATACTATACTTTTGAAATAGTTGTGTAACAATAGTCAATTGATCTTTATTACCAAAAATTATTACAGGGGCATTTATTAAGTTTATGTGGATATTTGATAGTCAAGTATAAAAGTTCTAAAACCCTGAAACCCTGGGGATAGCAGTGACTCTCAGCCTTAGGCACACATTGCACCAGCAGTAACTCAGGGTGAGCAGAAGGATTTGGGACTACCAGCATTAGTCTTAGATTATATTCCATAGGCAGTGTACTAAAGCACAAGCTATGATACAAAGGCTTAATTATTTGTAGTTCTGCCAGCAGTTATTTTCATATTAAGAACTTTCTTATTTTGTAACTGTTCTTTCAGAATCACCAATATGATACTAAGAGTCTCTAGAGAAGGTAATTCATAAACAGTAACTCAGAAAAACAGACACACTCAAACACAGCTCTTTGATCTCATTATTGAACGTTGGTCCATTTTTTATTGTGCTATTTAACTCATTGTCAAAATGGTAATAATACAAAGACCAGATTGTCTTAGGTCTTTACCTCCAGTGATCCCAGGGTCACTCCTGTCCGTGTTATGAAGGGGCTGTCTGTCTTCTGAGGATCCAGAAGGACCTGCAGAAGAAAAGGGGAGAGAAGCAGAGTTCATGTACACACTGCCAGGAGGAGCAGGTTGCAGTGTGTGTGTGTGTGTGTGTGTGTGTGTGTGTGTGTGTGTGTGTGTGTGTGTGTGTGTGTGTGTGTGTACCACACACACCTGCACCCATAGAAGGCCCGGGAGCCAGTTCCTGCACTGCTGAGTCAGGGCTGTCTGCACACTTGGCTGCAGCAGCCACTGGGCCTTGAATGGTGACACTGGCTCCATCCTGGTGCAACGCAGCCTTCAATGGGGCTTCCTGGCCAAATCGCACCGAAGAGAGGCAGCCGGTGAAGCCCTGAGATGCTGCCTGCCTTGTGTCAGGGTCAGCGTCCAGTGGTTCTGCAGGTAGGAGAAGGGGGACATAGTCAGGACCAGAGGCAGGCCTGGAGCATCCTTTTTGTTGCCAGCTCCTGGAAAGCACACCCTTCTGTTGAGTGACCATGCTCACCAGGGGCAGTTTTTTAACTATGGTGGCTTCCAAAAGCAAAGCTGGCTTTGCAATAAGCTGCCATAGTGGGATGACGTTGAACTTCGGTTTGCATGTGCACTGCGGCGGATTATAGGTATACACTACCACGTCCAGTTTGAAATTAATTAATCTTAATTCATTTAATTTCTAAACCAGATCATTAAAAGATGGTTAATTTTCAAAAAATTACATTTTGTTTGTTTATTTATATTTATTGTGTGTGGCATGCACATGATGTGGAGGTCGGAAGATAGCTTTCATGAATCAGCTCTCTCCTACCACGTGGAGCTTGGGAACGGAACTGAGGTTGTCATACTCTATTAAAATACACTTTAAATGGAACTCACAGCCAATGATTCAAGGCTTTACAGTAAAGTGACTACAGGAAATGAAGACACAGCTCTGGAAATTCTAGTTTATTGTTTTTGTTTATCTTTTTTTCTTTTTCTTTTTCTTTTTCTTTTTTTTTTTTTTTTTGGTATTTTGAGAAACAGGGTTTTTCTATGTAACAGCCCTAGCTGTCCTGGAACTAATTTTGTAGACCAGGCTGACCTTGAACTCACAGAGATCTGCTGTCTCTGCCTCCAGAGTGCTGGGATTAAAGGCTTGTACCATCACTGCCAAGCTGTTTTTGTTGATCTTATTCAGTTGTTTTTTTTTTTGTTTGTTTGTTTTTTAAGGCAGTGTCTCACTATGTAGCCCTTACTATCCTGGAACTCACTCTTTCGAGCAGGTTGGCCTTGAACACACAGAGATCCATCTGTCTCTGTCTCCCAATGCTTGTATAAAAGCCACATACAACCATGACCAGATCATTAATTGCTATTTTGAATGATATAAGCAAATTTATGACATTTATATTTTAAATGAATTGTACTTAAAAAATCTTTTTAATTGACTCTTTGTGGATTTCACATCATGCATCCCGATCCCACTCATTTCCCTGTTCCCTTGCATCTTCTCTCTGCCCTTGCAACCTCCCCTCAAAAAACAAAACAAAATTTAAAAGAACAACCAAAAACCAAACACACACACACACACACACACACACACACACACACACACACACACACACACAAATTCTCTGTGTGGAAGCTGTAATATGGCCCAGTGAGTCACACAGTGTACTCTTTAGTCCACACATCTTTACTTGTAAGTGTTCATTGCTATGAGTCATTGGTCTGGTTTGAGACTTCTGGCTTCTGTTGTGCTATTGATAATGGGCCCTCATTGGGACTCTTCTTGGAAATCCTATTGTTATCCTGTGTCATGGAGATTCTGCAGATTTGGATCTGTAGGTCTGACCCCTTCACATGTTCCAGTAGTTCATAGATGAGGTGGACATTGCCACAGCTCTGAGCCACGCCTTTTTGTTTGGATGATCAGAAATTGTACCTTTTTAAAGATTCAAAAAATGCGTGTGTGTGTGTGTGTGTGTGTGTGTGTGTGTGTGTGTGTGTGTGTGTGTGTGTGTATTTGTGTATGTGTATACTTGCAAGTGCCTATAGAGGCCAGAAGAAGGCATCAGATGCACACGTGCTTGTGAGCTACCAGAAATAGGTGCAAGTAACTGAACTCAAGTCCTCTGCAACAGCAGTGCATGCTCTCAACTGCTGAGCAAGTTTTTAATCAGGTAAACCAAGAAACACAAGACTGGACAGCCTTTTACCCAGGTTATTTCTCCAGTTTGTGTTTGAAGCAGGCAACATTGAAGTGGCAAGGTCCTCTTTCATTCTAGGATGAAGAACAGGCTTCTTTACTTTTTCTACGGAAAAAAAATCTATAGATTCCCCACGATCTATGTAACTCAGCAGCAATGCAAAACCAGCCCCACATAGTACTCATTGATCTGCAGCCCTGCCATTTCCCCACAGGGCTTAGAGAAACCCATGCAAATGACTGGTACTCTTGAGGCTCATGTGTGTAATTAACATTCACCTAATATTTTTCAACAAATGAGTAAGACAAGAATTCCAGAGGCTGTGTAAATCAATGCTTATGATTTAACCCTGAGCACTCTGGGTAAATTTTTTTGGAATATTACTGGTGCCCTACTCAACTTGTTGGTCTATCTTATCATAAATTAAAGGAGTAAAAATTCTTGGAACTATAAGTTTTAGTATAAAAGTATAATCTTATAATTATTAAGTGATTTGGAAGTAGCAAGAGGCTTAGAGCAGAACTCATCCTAAAATAGATGTCTAATATATGAAATGCTTTATTGCTCTTTTGATTATTATTTCTATTTCAAAGTATAGAGAATGTGGAAAAGTTGACTATAATTTAGTGGGAGTCATTTACATCAGGTTATATGCCTCCTTGCTTAATTCGAGTTTAAATGTTTCTGTTTTGGGTCTCATTACACAAGCAGGATGGCCTCAAACTTGTAATCCTCCTGCCTCTGTCTTTCAAGTTCTGAGATTATAGGCATGTACTACCATACCTGACTTTTGAACTTAAATTTTTAAAAATGTATTTTTATTATTTTTATGTGTGTGAATGCAAGTGCTCCTGTGTGTCTTAGTTAGGATTTCTATTGCTTTGTTAAAACAACATGACTAAAAGCAACTTGGGGAGGCAAGGATCTATTTCATTTTATACTTCCACATCACAACCCATTATGGGAGTCGGGGCAGGAACTCAAGGCAGGAATATGGAGGCAGGAACTGGAGGGGTGCTGCTTACTGGCTTGTTCCTCAAGTCTTGCTCAGTCTGTTTTCTTCTACCACTGAGGACCACTTGCCCAGGGGTAGCACTGCCTCCAGTGGGTTGGCCCCTCCTTTATCAATTAAGAATCCAGAAAATACTGCACAGACTTGCCGATAGGCAATCTGATAGAAGCATCTTCTCCACTGAGGTTCCTCTTCCCAGATAACTCCAGTAAGTATCAAGGTAACATTGTAACTGACTTGAGGGGTCCAGCACCCCCTGCATGACATAAAACTAGCCAGGACATTGTGGAAGCCAGAAGAAGATGGCAGATCTCCTAGAGCTGGAGTTATGGGCAGTTGTCAACATCTGGACATGGGTGCTGTTATGATGCTGGGATTACAGATATGTGCCGCCATGTCCAGTTTAAAATAGATGTATTTTTTTTAAGAGAAAGATTCTTGCTCATATAAACCCTCCTCATTCTCGTTGATTGGACTCCCAGAGATCCACCCAGGGCCTAGTCATGGATCTCTGCATCCAGATCCCTCAGTAGTTGGATGAGGTTTCTAGCACAACAATTAGGGTGTTTGGCCATCCCATCACCAGAGTAGGTCAGTTCGGGCTGTCTCTCAACCATTGCCGGCAGTCTGTTGTGTGGGTATCTTTGTGGATTTCTGTGGGCCTCTCTAGCACTTTGCTTCTTCCTGTTCTCATGTGGTCTTCATTTACCATGGTCTCCTATTCCTTGTTCTCCCTCTCTGTTGTTGATCCAGCTGGGATCTCCCGCTCCCCCAAGCTCTCTTTCCCTCGACCCTCGCCTTTCATTACCCCCACTCATGTCCAGGCTGTTCATGTAGATCTCATTCCATTTCTCTGTCATTGGGCGATTGTTGAGACCAAGGTTGGATAAAGCACAGGGACAAATAGCCAAATGAATGGAAACACATGAACTATGAACCAATGGCTGAGGGGTCCACACTGGATCAGGCCCTCCGAATGGGTGAGACAGTTGATTGGCTTGATCTGTTTGGGAGGCATCCAGGCAGTGGGACCAGATCTTGTGCTCATTGCATGAGTTGGCTGTTTGAAACCTGGGGCCTATGCAGGATTGTTTGGCTTGGCCTGGGAGGAGGGGACTAGACCTACCTGGACTGAGTCTACCAGGTTGACCTCAGTCTGTGGGGAAGGCTTTGCCCTGGAGGAGATGGGAATGGGGGGGGGGGGCGTTGGGGGGAAGGTGAGGGGGACGGGAGGGGGGAGAACAAGGGAATCCGTGACTGATATGTAGAACTGAATTGTATTGCAAAATAAATTAAAATAAATTTAAAAAAAAAAAAAAAGAGAAAGATTCTTTTCCTTGGCTACCAAGATATCAATTTTACAGTTAAGCTGGGGTTTAAAATGTTACCCTGTCAGTACCATAACCAATTACTACATCTTCCTCTCATATAATAGACAGTTTAAAATCATCAAAGACAGAGACACTGATGGAGGTCCCTGGAGTTGATGCTGAAACTGTCTGCTCTGCTGTTTTCACTTTTCAGGAAGTGTCAGAGGAAGACCAGCCTCCATGCATAACTGTGACTGCCAAGTGAGGATCTTTCAAGAGATGACTGCTCACCTGCCAGATGGCACTTACTCATGATTGTACATGCCCTCAACATGAGTACAATCTGTACCTTGATTGCCACTCACTATGAAATAAGTATTAAAATGAGACAAAGAGCTTCTTGCAGCATAATTAATGCTTCCAGAGTCTGTGACATGATACTTATGATGTGATGTTTTTTTTTCACAGAAAGCTCCGTCTTCCACTTACCTAAAACCTTTCCCAATATGAGCGATTTGACAGCATTGAATTTAGTTCCCGAGGACAAGATGACTTGTCTCTTTGCACTCTGGTTAACCTATAAAATATGCCACAGGAAGTGAACATAACGGGTAGGGGACGGAGAATCAATTGTAATTGCTCCAAGGAAGCTATAAAAATCCCTTTTAAATAGGATACTGAATGGCTTTTTTTATAAAGCCTGTACGCCTTCCCAGTCTCTGGCCCTTTTCCTGTTCTTTTTTATTCTTCATAATGGGTCTGTAATTGGCAGAATCACAAAAGGATAGAATCAATTGCTTTATTTTTAATTTATTTTATTTTATTTAGGTGTACTGTGTGGGGGTGGGAGGTGGGGGGATGGGGTGTGTGTGCAAGTGAGTTTAGTGCCTGTGGAGGCCAGAAGAGGACATCAGATCCCCTGGAGTTGGCGTTACAGGTAGTTATGAACTTCCTGGCAAAAGGGGTGAGAATGGAACTTGGGTCCTCTCTAAGAGCAAGGTGTGCTCTTAATTGATAAGCCATCTTCCTAGTCACAGAATCAGTTGTTTTAAACTTCAAAACTCGTTCTCTGGAGGGGACATGACATATACTGTTAAAAACCATAGTTTTATGAACAGACTTAAAATATATTTCCCCTCACACTGCAGAGAAAATTAGCTTACTCATGTTTCTCATTTATTCCCATTGCTTTGAGTTTCTTATGTTTAATTTGGGGCGGTATAAGTTTTCTTATAATCACACAAGGACGTGTTACCATTGAAACAGTAATGGACAAATTTCACCTGTGTTTACCATAGTAAACTATACATTTCCTTACTGGATAAAGTGAAACAACTAAGGACAATTTGACATTTCAAAGGTCCAAAAGTGTAGTCACTTTGCAAGAGTAATTGTCAAACAAACAAGACAAAATAAACACCTTTTTCCAGCCCCCCCACATCTTAGTGACATTTGGCCTTCCATCCTTCACTTAATGGAGATCATGGAATGGATTGCTTTTTATTAATGTTCATTACTGATTTCTTAACCTTTAATTATTCATTCTTCTAGTCTCCTTGGGGTTATGTTTCTTCAGGGTTGTTACCTCCACAGAGACTACTGCTTCTTCTCTATTAATCACCAGCTGGTGAAAGTGTCCATCTGCTAAGTTTCTAAGGTCAAAGTTCAAAGCATCTGCATTATGATGTCTGTCCAGCTTGTACCTCACCTGCAAACTTCCTAAAGAGGAAAATAATAACATTTTAAATTATAATGACAATTTTGAGAACCCTTGGTGTAAATTCTAGAGCACTTTCAGGTTTATTTACTAAATGTACTTTTGGATATACTTAGCATTGACTTGAAAGCACCCAAGAGTCACTGTTCCAGACGTAGTGATTATTTCAAGGCTGTTTAGGGTCAAATTATGAGTATAGTTATGCTACATTTTAGAATGAAAGCCAACTGCCCTGATAAAAGCAATTACCCAAAATTTCTTAAATCACATATATGAAAATTCAGAACTCAAATCTAAATCATGACTAGGACATTTGTTTGGGGAAATTACAGAAATCTGTGCTATACTGTATTTATGTTTAACTGCAATAATTATTACAATGACTTTAATAAAATGTATTGTAGCTAGAGTTTTCCTGCCTTGCCCACAGTCAGGACAAATCTCTCTCACCCGCCAGTCCCACAGCCACTCAGACCCAACCAAGTAAACACAGAGACTTATATTGCTTACAAACTGTATGGCCATGGCAGGCTTCTTGCTAACTGTTCTTATAGCTTAAATTAATCCATTTCTATAAATCTATACCTTGCCACATGGCTTGTGGCTTACCGGCGTCTTCACATGCTGCTTGTCATGGCGGCGGCTGGCAGTCTCTCTGCTTTAGCCTTCCACTTCCCAGAATTCTCTTCTCTGCCTGTCCTGCCTATACTTCCTGCCTGGCCACTGGCCAATCAGTGTTTTATTTATTGACCAATCAGAGCAATTTGACATACAGAACATCCCACAGCACTTCCCCTTTTCTTTTTTTTTTTAATAGAGGAAGGTTTTAACTTTGACACATCTCCAAAGCCAGCTTGGTATATTTGGGAATTTGGGTGTAGCTTCTCTTACTACTTCCTGCTGGAGGGGGGTGCTGTATCTTATGGGGACACAAAGAAAATTTTAGGATTATGGAGTAGTCCATGAGGGTGTATCGTCTGAGCCAGTTGCCTTGATTCCGATCTGGATGTTGGATTATCTGGGCTATGGTGTCATCAGAGACCTTTCAGGGGGTCTTGGCTGGTCAAACCTGATGTATCTTAATCTGGAACAAATTCATAACCTTTGGCTTTCTGTGGAAACAAAAGCAGAGCCTCCTTTCCAAAGCAACATATCCTTATATCCAAATTTTGAAGTCAAGGTACCTTTAAAATATACATTTTGGTATAACTCAACAGCTTTTGCAATCAAATGTTTTTCTTCAGTTACAAATATCACAGAGAACATAATCCAGATTCTCTGTGTGGTAGCCATCTTTACATGGCTTATTTTTTATATTACCTTGATCCTATTGCTTTAAACTGCAGCATTCTGAGACTGAAATGGCACTGTGGCTGCTGGCTCCACCCACTTCAGCTTCCCAACATGGCAGTGGTACATTTACCGCCAGCTCTGGGAGCCATCAACTCTCAGAAATAGTGGGTCTATGCTTCTATCAAAGCAGCATGCAGCCCAGAAACCTCTTTTTGTTTTGTACTAGCAAAGGCTAAATCTACCACGCAGCTTAATGTGCCACTTGCAGAGGCCTCATTCCTGCCATACTGCAGGTCATGCGCACGTACATGCCAGGAACCCACCACAGTAGATAGTAAGTCAAACACGCAGGCTACTGCTAACTTGAAAGAGACAACTAGGAACTGTTTATAGCTCCGTTTTAGAATCTTTTTACTCAGGTTTTAGGTGGAAACTCATGCCAACACGTTGGGCACCATTTGTAGCTAGAGTTTTCCTGCCTTGCCGACAGTCAGGACAAATCTCTGTCTACCACCAGTCCCACAGCTGCTCAGACCCAACCAAGTAAACACAGAGACTTATATTGCTTACAAACTGTATGGCCATGGCAGGCTTCTTGCTAACTGTTCTTATAGCTTAAATTAATCCATTTCTATAAATCTATACCTTGCCACATGGTTTGTGGCTTACCGGCATCTTCACATGCTGCTTGTCATGGCACAGCTGGCAGTGTCTCTTCCCACCTTCCTGTTTTCTCAATTCTCCTCTCTGTTAGTCCCGCCTATACTTCCTGCCTGGCCACTGGCCAATCAGTGTTTTATTTATTGACCAGTCAGAGCATTTGACATACAGACCATCCCACAGCAATGTATTTTATTTAAATTCCTCTAACAACCTTATTTTTTTTTTTTTTTGGTTTTTCGAGACAAGGTTTCTCTGTGTAGCTTTGGAGCCTGTCCTGGATCTTACTCTGTAGCCCAGGCTGGCCTGGAACTCACACAGATCTGCCTGCCTCTGCCTCCCAACTGCTGGGATTAAAGGCATGCACCACCACCGCCCAGTTCTAAAATAGTTTTAAATGACTAAAACACAGAGAAAAGATTTTGTTAGAAGACACACATGTCTATCCTACATAGGCTCACCCTAACTGTCTACATCCTACAGCTTCATAAAGCCTTGATTTATGTAGAAATTAAATATTTTAGACCTAATAAACTTACATCCTGGGCTATCATCCAATTGTGAAAACTCGGACTGCCCCAGTTACCACTGTAGAAGGACTGTCATTTGTTCTAACTGGCTTCTCCACCACTAATGAGGTAAAGAATGATTGCCATTATCAATTGTTTATAGGAATTATCTTTTATATAGTTTTATTGTATCACCTACATTAATGACCCTCTAATTAACCTAGAATAAGCTGAAGATAATGCCCAACATCCAATATCTTTTTTTTTATTTTGCATCATCCAATATCTTATTTCATAATGAACTACAAAATAAACTTAGATCATCATGTGGTATTAAAGAAATCCTTTCAATAACTATTTCATACAAAATCTATACAATTATATAAGCATCTTAATTTAATTTTAAAATGGTAGTGAGGGACTTGATAGACAGACAGTGAAAAGATTAGGTAAATTAATGTACTTTTCACTTAAAAATTTAAGATGGCTGATTTCTAGTTCTCTCCCCTGTAAACAGAAAGACTTGGAGAATGAAGGGAACTGTTTGGTGAAACTTTCAAATCTCCCACAAGGGGTCTCATATGGTGGGAACCAATTAGCTTTCCTTTCTTTTCTGGCTTATCCAACTCCCTGTGACAGTTCATATCATCCAATTCTGAAGGAAAGGGGAATTTAGCCCCTTCCCAAACACATCAAAGTTTAGCTTTGCCATACAAAATTCGATTTCTGATTTCTGGACTCCCTCCTCACTGTGGGCTCTTTACATGCTTTGCTCTGTGTCTGCTTCTACTTTCATTAAAATGTATTTGCTTGCTTTGATTATGACTGATTTCCTGGAGAAAATGAACCAGATCCAATTACCCTTAAGTGGTAACATTAGCTTAAGGTATAACACTCACTATGGGTAGCCCTGAAATGCTAAAGTGAAAGCTACACAACTCTTTTCTTTGTTGAATAGACCTTACAACCTTATTTTTCTAATTAATGTTTTGATGTTTGTTATTATTTCTTTGGTTTTTGCTGCTTGTTTGATTATTTTATTCACTCAAAAGATATTTACCATTGTTGGCCAAGATAACTGAAAGGTATTCCTCATAGAAAGAGCTCACATAAAGCAATAAGCATGGTGTCTGTGTAGTTCGGAAGCTCAGTGTGATGGTTTCTCTGGACAGTATGATATCCCCATGTAATGAAGAAGCCAGGGAGCTGGTGTTGTCACTTAGGGTGGAATGTTCTTGAAAATTATAGATCACTGAGGAGCCATTTTCAAAATATGCAGAAATCTCTAGAATGAAAAACATATATTTGTTATGTTAACGCAGTGGAAACAATGGAAATGTCAAGTGAAGCATATTTAAAGAATGACTCCAATCTGTAAATATCTTGATGGATAATGTAATAAAATGTTTTCCTGTTTTGATTTTCTCACTTTTTAAATGTTAAGAAAGTAAAGTTTGGAAAGGTAACAGTTCTTGATATATCAAGATTCTAGAATGGAGAAACAAGTATTAAAGGCATTGACACCCTGGCAACCCCAGGATGAAGGCAGCATCATCATGGTATATGATATTCTGAATGTGTTCTTGGGTTTGGTTTGCAAGAACTTTATTAGGAACTTTTGCACTTATGTTCATCAAGGATATTGCTCTACTTTTTTTAAAATGTCCCTATTTGATTTTAGTAACAAGGTAAATAAATGCTAGTGTCATAGAACTAGCTTGATTTTCTTGCTACAGGGAGCTAGGCCACTTTCCTGTCTCCATCTCCTCATTCCCTTAGCTGATCCTCCTGCTACATTCCCTTTTTAGCTTGTCAGTGTCCAGATCTCCTGGTCTCTACCACTGCCTTGTCTGGGTTGAAGCAGGTTGAATTTAAGATCCCTGACTTGTGATTCTTCCCTATTTTCAAGCCCACAGGGTAGAATACATTCTCTCCCAAGGTGGCTTCTTATCACTGCCTTTATAGAGTGACAGAAAGGGATTCTGCTCCACTGCTGACCACACACTGCAGTAATCACTGTTTCAGAAAAGCAGCCTCCTATTTGAGGCTTGGAGGGCTATGGGCTTTTCCAAGAATGCCAGTGCTTTTGCTCCAGGCTGCCTGGCTGACCTTTGGATAAGACTTCTGCTTCCTCCATGATAGGCAGCTGCTGCTGTGTTTGGTGCAGCTTGCTTCTTTATATCATGTCACATTTCTTTTCTTCATATTTCAGCTGTACTGATTATTTATACTCTTCTGGGGGGCAGTGCTCCCAAATAAATCACATGTGGAGGCTTATTTTTTTTTTTTTTTTTGAGACAAGGTTTCTCTGTGTAGCTTATCCTGGAACTCACTCTGTAGATCAGGCTAGCCTTGAATTCACAGAGCTCAGCCTGCCTGTGTCTCCTGAGTGCTGGGATTAAAGGAATGCCTCACTTTCTTAATTATAAATGTCCAGCCTTAGCTGGCTTATTTCTTGCCAGCTTTACTTAACTTTAAATTATCCTGTCTAGCTTTTGCCTTTGGGATTTTACCTTTCTCTATTTCTGTATATCTTTAATTATTCCTTACTCCGTTGACATGCTGTGTGGCTGAGTAGCTGGCCCCAACATTCTATTACCACCTTTATGAATTTCTGATGAAATCATTCCTCTCATTTTCTCTTTAGAATGGAGCCTTTTTTTCTTGACTCTTCTTTACCAGGTCACATGGAAGCAAACTTCTAGTCCACCATTTTAAGTTAAGTCCTAGAAATTTTTTTCTATGCCAAAGATATTTCTCAAATTTACCATTCAGTTTAACTAGAAAACAAAATCTTATCTACGGTGATCTCTGCATTTGTACTGAGAGAAAACACAAAGTGATTCTCAGTTTCTCCTAAAATACTTTATAAAGGTTGGTATTAACTACTTTTTTTTGTTGCTGTGATAAAATACCATGACTGAAAGCAACCTAAGGAAGAGTTTATTTTGGCTTATGGTTGCAGAAGGCTAAATGTCCATAAAGGCAAAAAGGCATGGTGACAGGACCAGGAAACTGAGAGATCACATCCCAATTCCACACTTAGGAAAAAGAGAGAGCAAACCAGAAGTAGGCTAGAGGTATGAGTCCTCAAAGCCCATCCAGAGTGACATACTTCCTCCAGAAGGCTCCATATCCTAAACAGCATCATCAACTGTGAAAGAGTTGGACATATTTTATGCAAACTGTCACAAGTTGACACTTTAATTTTGTGTTAGATTACTGTCAAAAATATATTTATTACAGAAATATCCACATATGCATGTTTGCATACACATATACACACAATAATAAAACTGAGATATTGAAAGATGATCTTTACCTTGCAACATTATTTCATTCTTCCAATTTCCATAAACCATAGAATTCATTAAAAATCCATATCATAGTTTAGACTGTGGAATTTAAGGTCTTGGAATGTAGCTAAGTGGTGGAGTACTTGGCTAGCATGCAGAAAGCCCTGGGTTCAAACATAGCACCACAAAATAGATAAATGAAATATAACAAAATAAAAATGTTAAAATGAATATTTGAAATAGGAATATGGTTCAGTTGATAGAGTGCTTGACTAGCATGTGTGAGGTCTCTGGTTCAATCCCCAGAACTTAGGAAGTAGAGGTAGAAAGATGAAAAGCTCAAGGACATCTTTGAGTATACAGGAAATTTGAGGCTGGCCTTGGTTAAAAAACATGTCTAAAGTCATATTTATAAAATAAAAATAAAAGAAAGGTGCTGTGGATATCTCTCTGTATAAATAAAATGCTGATTGACCAGTAGCCAGGCAGGAAGTATAGGTGGGACAAGCAGAGAAGAGAATTCTGGCAACAGGAAGGCTGAGTCAGGAGAAGCTTCCAACAGCCGCCATGAGTACCAACAAGTAAGATACCGGTAAGCCACGAGCCATGTGGCAACTTATAGATTAATAGAAATGGGTTAATTTAAGATATAAGAACAGCTAGCTAGAAGCCTGAGCCATTAGGCCAAACAGTTTAAATAATATAAGAGTCTGTGTGTTTATTTTATAAGTGGGCTGCAGAACTGCCAGGGCTTGTCAGGAGCTGGAGAGAAACTCTCCAGCTAAAAGGAGGAATTTAGGTATAAAATACTCTTTACTCACCAGAGAGCCATTTTTTATTTACCCGCAACACACTGTTTATGTCATTTTAGGTTATAAAATAACATTTAGAATGGTGCTGTGTATTGATGTCTATATCAGAATTATATGACTTGCTGTCATAGACAGATCTTATATTGTAATATATACAAGGAGATGACTGGAAGTCTTTTCAAAGGTGCTTTCCAAAACTTTTCAATGACTTCTAGATAACTAATTCTCAAATATCCTTCAAAAGTTACATACTTTTTTTTTTTATAAAAAGTAAAGGCACTTATACTATTAAACATATCCCAGGGATGCATAAAACAGTGAATGTAGTTTAATGAATCAATATTCTAGGGGGTTCCACTAAAGTATTAATTTAAAGCATGTTCAAGAAGTTAGTAGAATGGTGCACTCTAGACTCAAACCAGCCTCTTCATTTAGAACAAATCATGACTAGCAGGGGATATGTTATATCCCACTGTGCTCCTTAAGGACATTCAAACACCTTACAAGCTTTATTTGAATAATCTCTCTAGGGACACGTCATATTTAATTAAATGTGCATTTTTCCCAGTTCCAAGGGATCCTGCTCCCTCCTCTGGCTGTTTCAAGCACTGCATTCATGTGTACAGACACATACATATATGCACAATTAAATAATTTTTTAAAGAAAAAAACATCCCCTTATATCATCTTGAGTTTAGTGATAGGCAATGATGCTTAGATGATCTGAAAACCAAAACAATTTGAGGTTAGAACACTGGAAACCAGATGGTTCTTGAGAACATTAGCACTGAGCAGAAGACAGGAGCAGAACTAAGGGCTTCCAAATAAGAAACCCAGAGAAGGCTGATCTATGAGGCAGCCTTAGCTTTCCAAAGATATTAATAAACCCTCCAAATTTAATAGAGTTTAATAAGATTCTAAGGCAAGCAACTACATTATCTTATGCCTTGTTTATAAGGTCCAATACCAGAAGAGACCCACATCTTCTCCCTGATTCATTTCTTGGACATACTTACCATGTGAGCACAGTGGCCCATCATAGGCAGAAAGGGCACAGTCACAAGCAATCCCTCTGTGTTTCTCTTGACATTTCCCTCCATTGCGACACAGGTGTCCATAGCTACTGCAGTGACCCGAGCATCCTGGCTCCACTCCTGGTGTCACTGTGGCCCTTCCCTCCAGGTCCAACACCATTCCATTCAGCTGCAGAGACCGGATACAGCCCAGGAAGCCCCTCTGTCTGCTGGCTGTGCCCCCTACAAGGGAAACACTGCAAATACAATGTGTTCCTTGGTATTTTATTTAGGATTTTCTGTCCATGTTAAAATCAGGTCTTATAGAGAGAGGCAAGTAAAAAAAGTTGAAATTTTGTCAGAAGTCATTGTTTGCATAGAAAATGGTGAAAACATATACTGTCACCATACATCAGGAAACCTTATATGACACTGAATGAAACATTATTCAGCTTATAAAAATATTGACATTGGTAAACATTCATTATAAAGTATTCTTTAGCTTCATAAAATATAAACCACATAAACATCATTTTACTTATGTTTATGAGCAGTGATACACATTAGAATGGTTATATGTGACCTTTCAAATTTTTCCCAATAATGTAAAAATATTCTGTTAATTTGTTATGTGGGTGAGGTGTCAAAGCACAGGAAGAGACAGAGAAGCAAAGCCAGGAAAGCTGGAGGAAACTGTGTCAACTTATCCAAGCTGTCCTTTACTCTATCTACTTGTCTCCAAGGATACAGTGTTAAACATAAATGGAACACTACGTACAGAGATGGTTTATCATGCCAAATGTGAATGCTAAAAATCTATTTAGAGAGGCTTCCAACACTTTCTTGGCAAACATCATTATAAGTCATGTTATGGTGTTATATTATTCTGTGAGCTGCAGTTTCTAGAGCTTTACTCCAGAGACTCTGATACATTTGGTTTATGGCAAGGACCCCCAATCTGAATAACAAATGACTTCATGGGTGATCATGAAGCCAACAATTCCTCCTCTGGATTTTACAGAGACCTGTGTGCTTAGATGTTTGGCACCCAACTTGGCACAGCTGGGAGGTGGTACTAACCTTAAGAGGTAGGGCCTGGTAGGGCCTGTCATTTTGGGCATGACATCAAGTAAGATTGTGGAGTCTTGGTTCATTCTACATTCTCATTTTTTGACCCAGGGACAGTTTTCTCATCCACTTGCTCCCACAATGTTGTGCACCGCCCCCCTGCCTAAAAAACCTTAACACAATGGGTCTGCCTAGTTGTGGACTGAAATTCAAAGCTGTAAGTCTAGAAGGGACCACTTTTTAAAATTTTGTTTATTACATTTTATTTATTTATTTTGTGAGTAGGTTGGGGTGGTATGAGCTGTGGTGCATATGTGGAATTGAAAGGATAACTTGTGGGGCTCAGCTCTTTCCTTCTACTATTTGAGTCCTGGGGCTAGAACTCAGATCATTAGATGTGGTAGCAAGTGCCTTTACCTTTTGAGCCATCCTGCTGGACCTGAATCTTTTATCTTTGTAAGGTGATTATCTAGGTATTTGTTTCAATAATGGAAAACTAACACACATAATTCATTGATTTTTCCTTCCATCGGGTAGTTTGATGGTTTTGAATCCTCTGAAGAAGGATCATTTCACCTTAACTTAGAAACTTATAATGCTTAAAGCTATGTCTTACAGATCCATAGTATTCTAACTCTCCTTATAACCTTGTAGTATGGATACACACACACACACACACACACACACACACACACACACACACACACACACACACACACACACTTGAATTTATCATTAATAATTAGTACCTGGAAGTTACACATATTCTCTGTAAAGCAGGATGGGTGGTTATTTATGACTTAATAATGTTTCTAATTAGATTATGTCTTTGTTTTAAGATGCATAAGATGTAAACAAATGAGAGTCATGACCTTAATTTGCTTGGTTTCTAAGACTGGAGTATCTGAAAAGCAATATAGCAAAATATAGTTTCTTTATGAGAAAAATAACATTAAAGAAATAAGCAAACTAAAGAAAAGGCTTACAGAACCCAAAACTCTGATCTTTAAACAAATGAATTATAAGAATAAAGGAATCGGACCCAAGTATAAATAATAAGCACAGGACACGAAAGCCTGATGATGGTGGCTGACGATGGTGAGCAGAGACAGGGAATGAAAAACAAGGACCTTGAAAGGCTTGCACAAAGTTTAGCTTCCACATAGGAAATAAAACACAAGCTAGTTGTGTTGGCTTAATCAGTATGATGATCTTTAGTTTCACCCATTTTCCTGTAAATGAAATAATTTAATTCTTGTTTTTGTTTTTCTTTTTTCTGGAGCTAAGGACTGAACCCAGGGCCTTGCGCTTGCTAAGCAAGCACTCTACCACTGAGCTAAATCCCCAACCCCTTTTAGTTTAATTCTTCTTAATAGAATATCATTCCATGTAGATAAGTACCATATTTTCTTTATCTTTTAACCCACTGATGGGCACCTTGTCTGGCTATTGTGAACAGCGGAGCAATAAATATTGATGTACAGGTATTTCTGTAGTATGACTTAGAATCCTTTGGGTATATACCCAGGAGTGCAGACCTGGATTGTGTCATGGTTCTATTTTTAGATTTTTGAGGAACCTTCACACTATCATGTAGTAGCTGACCAAGTTTACATTCCCATAAGCAGTGACTCGGGTTCCTTTTCCTCCTCGTTATCATCAGCATTTACTGTGATTTGTTTTCATGATGATAGCCATTGGGGTGAGATGGACTCTCATGGCAGTTGTAGTTTTTTATTTTTCTGGTTGATAAAGATAATGAACACTTTCTTCAAATATTTGTCAGCCATTAATATTTCTCCTTTTGAGAATTGTCTGTTAAGCAACAACACATGTTCCTGGAACCTATTGCATCATTAGAAAATAGTACCAATCATAGTAGCTGTTCTAAGTTTTCATTAGAAGCACTTTGGGACTGGGGAGATAGATGGCTCAGTTGAAAAGGTGCTTGCTCCATAAACATTAGGACATGAATTTTGATTCCTAGCACCCACATGAAAAAAACCTAAGTGTGACCATATGCATTAGTAATCCTAACACTATGGAGTGGAGACAGATATTTCCCTGGAACCCATTTTCCAGCTAGCTTTGCCAAATTGGTGAGATCCAGGTTCAGTGAGATACCATGCTTCAAAAAATGAAGTATAGAGAAATTGAAGAAGACACTTTGGCCTTCAAACATACATGTATACCCACAGGAACATATATATACAAAACACACATCAGTTGATCAATCAATGGCATAAAAACATTTTCACAGCTATGGCTTTCTGTATTTCTGCAGTCAGCACCAATTCCACCATAACGCATTGGCACTCACCAATGAAGAGCTGGCTGTTGAGTTGCAGTCGAACATGACCATCAGCAGGTGCGGGTTGTATCTTCTGAGGGAGCTGATCCACCTGAAGAGATGCTCCTTTAATGTTCCTTTCTACCCTCACATGATGCCACCGGTTGTCATTAAATGGAGTGGGTGACTGTACAGTGAGCTCACAAGGTCCATTCCCAACATCAAAAGAAAAGGTCACTTCTGTGGGAGCTAGTGATAGTATATATTCAAGTTAATTCATAGAGGAGATACTATAATCTTAAGTAGACATTAAAAATAAAACAATGACATGCCCATTATAAATAGAGACAATGACATCCATGTCGAAAAAAATGTGACTCTGAGTTGGAGGAACGCTAAAATAAATTTGTATCTCAGTGCAAAACAAAACAAAACAAACCTAATTCTATCTTATTTTTTTTCTTGGAGTTTACTAGTTATTCTTGTTAAGTCCTAACTTGATCTTGCTTAGTCCTAAATGGAGGTAGGTGCCCACAACTAGAATAACAAATAGAATTTGTTTTTTATGTACATAATTTTATTTTAAAATGTTTCCAAGCTTTGTTTAATCTTTAAAACACTAAAAAAATTGGCAGTCATAAAATAAGCTTTTGAGTGAATGAAAAAGTCCATTAAATATTATATAATTTAATAAGCAATTTGATGAGTTTGGCTTGAACTCTAAATGTACTCAGCTATATTCAAATAATATATAACAACCTGTTTTTTTATTTATTATACGAATTATGGTTTATTACTTGCTTTATGCTCCATAGTTTGACTTTTTCTTAAAAAAATGATTGACTGAAAATCAACGAATTTTAGTGTTCAACATGAGTGCAATTTGGAGTTCAAATGAGGTAAGAATGCTAATACATTGAAATTTTGCTGTTAGTTTTCATTGCTAAATAACAAGTACCTCAAAACTCATCTATAGTCAGGAGCTTACCACGCAACTCTATTCTGATGAAGTCTGTGATTCCTAGATTCTCCATGAATACGCCAGAGGAAACGGTAGTCTTAAAAAGGAAGTGCACATCAGCAGTGAGCTCTCCATGGAAAGTTGGGAAATGAAGGTATGAAGCCTCAGTGTTGAAGGAAGCTGAATTCCAAAATGACTCTTTTAAAAATCAAAGAAAAAGACAAAATGCAAAATCATGAATTATGCTTATTGCTAGAGCAGTTAATATTAATAATTAAAATCAGCCTTTAATTGGAGTTCTGGGCATTATAATACCAATATTCAAACAATGACTATTTTGAGGATTAATATTCTTGTGAATGGCTCACAGAGAGATGGTTCAAAAGGCAAGGATACTTACCTCCCAAACCTTATGATCTGAACCCTGGAACCCATGTAAAGATGGAGAGTCAATTCTACAAAGTTGTCCTCTGACCTCCACACATGTACTAGGATACTTGTATGCCCTCCTAAACATCACACACACACATACACACACACACACACACACACACACACACACACACACACACACACACACCAATAATAAATAAAATAAAGTTAAGAAAAGATTCTGTTTTTGGATTTTACAGGTGCTGACAGTTAAGAGTTTGCTTTGACTCTCAGAAGAGACTTAGGACTTCTGAATAGTGGTGTATGCTTCTTATACATACTGTGAAGAGAAAGAAGGAAGGGAGGGAGGGGAAGGTAGAGTGGCTGACAGAAGGATAGAAATGGTCTACAGCACACAAACTTTCAAGGTGTTTTTTTAAAAATACAATCCAAAGAAGGAAAATCCCCGAGTTTCATACAATGGGAACAATAAAAATCATCTGCTAGTAAAACAACCAAGAATAAGTTTTTTTTTTTTAAAGAAGTTAAAAGAGCTTCTAAAGGAAAAGTGAAATAGAGACTCAAATGAGATGTTTAGCACGAATCTTAAAAGGTCTCATTAATAAAAACAAACCCAGAGCCAGGTATTGGGGTAAACGCTGAAAGATCAGAGAGACAGAACAAACCACAGCTAACCTCACCTCACCTCGCCAACTTCTCAGCTGATCCTGTTTCCTCAAACTGGAAGCCTCTGAGTCCTCATCCGGAATGAATCTCAGCTGAACTACTGCTAAAAGCAGTATGGGACTTTATAAGGAGAAATTTATATCTTTCCAGGGGGAGAAATTCTCACAACAATAACATCCTGCTTCATGGATGCCAATAGAGTTAAAGAACATTATTCTCACAGCACAGCAAGTGACATGAGATCCAGATATGAACACTGGTTGTCCAATAACTAAGCCTCATAATATGACCTATATATGTGATCACAGTAGGTAGATATCTCAGATGAGGATCTCTGGGTAAATTCCCAGGACATTTTGTAGTAAGCAGCTCCCAGACCAGTCTCCTCACAGGAAGGTACATAGTCAGTGTTCATGATACTGTATTTAGTTTTGACTCACTCAGGTGCCTTCTCAGTTAGTTACAGAAACTTCTGGATATTAGGGGGTGAATTTGCTATACAATCTGGCACACTCAGCAAGAACATGCAGTAGTGCTCAGGGATCATATTGGATTCTCTCTCTCTCTCTCTCTCTCTCTCTCTCTCTCTCTCTCTCTCTCTCCACTATCCTCCAAATATTGAAGTACAGAAGTAAATAAAAATAAATCTAGTCTTAGACTTTCCCACAGTAACATAATGCTAGTGGATAATAGACATTTAAAAAATGTTTCTCCAAAAAAAGAGTGTTGTATGTAGCTTAGTGAAAGTTCATGTGCTAAAGCAATGAATAGAACCTCATAGACTGAAAGCATTCTAGGACTATCATAACAATGCATCATAGACAGATAAGGGAAACCTTGACCGTGAAATGCAACCATAGGTGAAAGTCCTGCTGTATGAAAGAGTTCACTATCACTCACTGTCACATAATGGTGAAGTAGAATTACAGAGGTCAGAGAAAAAGTAGTATAAGATGTCTTATACTATTCAAGCTGTCCTAAGAGTATAAGCACAATAAATGAACCTTGCCAGGCATTCACAAACTCAGAAAATAATTCACTGAAGGGTTGTACTGGAAGAAAACAATACATGGACAATAAATCATCCAATCAAGTAATAGGGTCAAATAAAGATAATTCACTCCCCATAAGCTAACATAGGCAGAACATCCCTAATGCAAAACCCAAAATAAAAGATTATCCAAAGCCCCCCCCCCAAATAGTGTATGTGTGTGTGTATGTACATATGTGCATGTTCGTGTGTTTGGCAAGTACATTCGTGAGTAAGGGTGTATATGAACACATGTGTTTATGCATATGGAGGCCAGAGGATAGTGCTGGGCATCATTCCTTAGGTGCCATATATTGTTTGGAGACAAGGTCTCTCATTGGCCTAGAATTTGTCAATTAGTCTAGGCTAGCTGGTCAGCAAGCCCCAGTGATCTCTCCTGCTTCTGCATCCCAATCATAGAGAATATAAGCACTATGTACTGCCATCTATGATTTTTTTATGTGGGTTAAATGAAATGAACTCAGGTTTTCATTCTTTCAAGGCCAACACTTTACCAACTGAGCTATAACTCCTAGAACCTGAAGTCCTAAACATTCTGATCTCAAATCTGAAAACAGATCTCCCAGATTTCATTTGGGGGATATGCAACAGTGTAGTTGGATACTGATCTTCAGTGCTGACAACTGCTCTCACAACTCTGCTTAGTGTGCTTAGATCTTAGATGCTCCCCAACAGCCTGCATGTTAAAGACTTAGTTGCCAGCTTCTAGTGTTACTGGAACCTTTAGGAGGTGGAGCCACTGAAAAGAAGCTATGTCACTGGGGGTGAACCCTTGAAGAGGATTTTGGGCCCCTTCTCTCAGTTTACTTCTTGACAACTAGTTTTATTTTACTACATGCTCCTAGCATAGGCCCCCCAAAAATTGGGCTGCCAGAATAAACTTCTAAAACCGCGAGCTGAGAGAAACATTTTCTCTTTTAAAATTATTTATTTCAATTATTTGGTCCTAGCAATAGAAAGAAGACAAACAGTGCTTTTCTATCCTGGCCCTAAGATTGCCACTGGTTCTGTGACCAAAATAAGGGTACATGTCTACTTTTTAATAATCAGAACATATTATTATAAAAAGAAATCTTGGTGTGGAGCTGCGGTCGCGGGTTGCTGTTCCGCAGGATGGGGTTTGTGAAAGTTGTCAAGAATAAAGGCCTACTTTAAGAGATACCAAGTGAGATTTAGAAGGCGGCGAGAGGGTAAAACTGACTACTATGCTTGGAAATGATTGGTGATCCAAGACAAAAATAAGTACAACACACCCAAATACAGGATGATAGTTTGTGTAACCAACAGAGATATCATCTGCCAGATTGCCTATGCCCGTATAGAAGAGGACATGATTGTGTGCGCAGCATATGCACACGAGCTGCCCAAGTACGGTGTGAAAGTCGGCCTGACAAATTATGCTGCGGCCTATTGCACTGGCCTGCTGCTGGCCCGCAGGCTTCTCAATAGGTTTGGTATGGACAAGATCTATGAAGGCCAAGTGGAGGTGACTGGAGATGAATACAATGTGGAAAGCATTGATGGTCAGCCTGGTGCCTTCACTTGCTATTTGGATGCAGGTCTTGCCCGAACTACAACTGGCAATAAAGTTTTTGGGGCCCTGAAGGGAGCTGTGGATGGAGGCTTGTCTATTCCTCATAGTACCAAACGATTCCCTGGTTATGATTCTGAAAGCAAGGAGTTCAACACAGAAGTACACCATAAGCACATCATGGGTCAGAATGTCGCAGACTACATGCGCTACCTGATGGAGGAAGACAAAGATGCTTATAAGAAACAGTTCTCTCAGTACCTCAAGAACAACGTGACTCCAGACGTGATGGAGGAGATGTATAAGAAAGCTCATGCTGCTATCCGAGAGAATCCAGTCTATGAGAAGAAGCCCAAGAGAGAAGTGAAGAAGAAGAGGTGGAACCGACCCAAAATGTCTCTTGCCCAGAAGAAAGATCGGGTTGCTCAAAAGAAGGCAAGCTTCCTCAGAGCTCAGGAAAGGGCTGCTGAGAGCTAAAGCAATTTTCTATGAAGATTTTTTCATAAAGATAATAAACTTATTGACTAAGCAGCAAAAAAAAAAAAAAAAAAAAAAAAAAAAGAAATCTTGCCAGTACTTACTGTCTCCCTGGCAAATCAGAGGTCCCAGTGTATAAACAGCTTCAGAATGTAGTCGGCCTGTGTCTGTCACCACCATCTCAGTGACTGGCAGGTGCTCTTTATGGGAAAGGACCATTGTGTCACTGGTCCTAAAAACAACAGAACTCCTTAAAATTATTCTAATTAACATGAAGGTATTATTAACTATGATCTCTTTGTTGCAATTTGAAACTAAGTAACAGGAGTTAACACTTAAAAATCTTTTTGATATTTTTGAGATCACTACTGAGAATCTAGATCAAGAATCAGCAAATGTTTTCTGTGAAGGGCCATTTAATAACTGACTGTAGCTTTTCAGTCCAAACAGCCTATAGCTGCTCAACTTTGTGGCTCAAGTGTGAAACTCACAGATGTTAAGATTGGGCATGACTATATTGTGATTAAAAAACTTGTGGACACTGAAGTTTGAATTTCATGCATCTCAAAATATTTTTCCCTTTTTCAATGGTAAAAATGGAAAAACATGGCTCATGAACTGTATATAAACAGGCCAGTGAGCAAGTTTGAGTCACAGCAGTAGTCTAGCAACTTCTGACCTATTTGTCAATTCCTGATGACAGAGAAGAAAAAATAGAGCAAATGGAAATGAGTGGTCATTTTGCATACATGAGATAATTCTCTTGAGGAAATGAAGCACATTACTGCTCTTTCAAAATTAGTCTCAGGATAATAATTATTGAGTGTTAATTGCAGATATAAAAATTAACACTTGATTTAGATAGAATGTATATTTTATTTCATTATTGACTTTTAAGTCTTTTTGTGATGAGTTTGTTTCTTTCTCTGATAATTTGTTAAGTTGTAAAACTAAACTGACAGATTAGAAACCAAAATAAATGCAATCCCTTTATAAGTAACACACAGACTAGCATGCATGAAATTGCTCTGGGATGTGCTGAGTCCACTCAGTGGACAGACAGCATTCACCTTCTGTTGATCATGTGCTGTACCAGGAATCAAGGACACAAAGTGTAGTAAAATATGTATATGAGTGTTTTGTTTGTATGTATGTTTATGCACCATGTGTGTGCTTAGTGCGTGTGGAACTCAGAAGAGGGTATTGGATCCCTGGAACTGGAGTTGTGATGGTTGTGAGTCACCATGGGTGCTGGGAACTTAATCTCAGATCCTCTGTGAGAGTCACACTTGTTCTTAACCACTGAGTTATCTCTCCATCCCAAGAGCAGAATTCTTAACTGTCATAATCCTTTCAGATTTGCAAAACTAAAAGACTCATAGAACCATAGTTTGAAACTTAAAAAGATAGAACTAAAATAAAATTTGTTATTTAAGATTATTCTTATAATTAAATTATTGAAGATTTTCATCCAATTTTTAAAAAAGACTCATGAAACAGTCTGTAATGTATGTAAGGAGATCTCAATTAATATGAAGTAAATGCTCTGGATCGTGTGAAATATTTAAGGTAAAGAAAGGTTATTTCTACATTAAGACTAAACTCTCACTGTTTCATCTAGTTAAGGCTCCCTTATTCACATCTGTGTAAAGATCAGAGCACAGATGATCAAAAATCACCACTTAGGTCTAAAGTAAACTGATGGTAGACGAGCTAGAAATACATGGCCTGGAATATCAGTAGATGAAGCTGAGAAATCCTTAACATGGTAGGAATCAAAAACCAAATGCTTCAATACCTGTGATGATCATTTTAGGGTGATAGTCTATAGGAGAAATTCAATTCTATTAGTTATTCATCACAGATGCTTGAATTTTAAAAGACTAATTTGCATAATATTTGCAAGGCTCTTTTTCATTCCATTTTTAGTGTGGAAAGTACTGAATTGTGTAACAGGTGGCCACAGAGAATTTAATTACTGTAGAACAGAGAGTTCTAAGTCTTGCTTTTTGTTTTTCAGTTTATTGGGAAGCTCCTAATCTGAAGGTAAGGATTAATACCATTTTCACAGCTTCTCATTGGTACAGGCATATCTCAACTTTACAGATTTATGCAGAATACTAAGGATTTGCCACAGTTTTGAGACTCTCTCAAAACTTCAATAGGGGTATTTCTCCATCTATCCCCTATTTTTTACTTATTCCCTATTATTTTCTGAAGTGTATATTACTTATGAAGCACACCTAATTTAAAAATCCAAGTGATAAGTATTTCTAATATGTGCAATTCATTGACTTCTGACATGACAAATAAAGTGGAAAATCCTACACATGATAGTCTATGACAGTCAGTCAAAGTATAGGAGCACTGAAACACTGCCTAAAATTACCTCCAGGCTATGTGTATAAGGTGTATACAAACAAAATTCATGTTCAGACTTGGGTCACATCTCTGATATATCATTAGGTATATGTAAATATTTCAAATCTTAAAATCTTCTGCAATTCCCCAGCACTCTTCTTACAACTTCATTTGAAAACATATATTCCAAGGGTTGGGGCAAAATTTCAGAATGATTGTATTTAATCTTCTTTTCTGAAATAATATGTAACCTTTTCTGTTTCCCTCCTAAACTCTCCTGGCAGTCCCATGCCTATTTCCAAATAAGTGTATCTATTAGTATGTAAGTGTTAGATATTAGTCCAGGGAGCTGAGTGGACTAGCCAGGTCTGTAGCAGACCTGGGCTCTCCTTGGTTGCCCAGTCCCCCTCTCAATAGAAAATGCCACTTCATAGTTGTTTATGTTCTCCGAATGCTATGCTTCTTTGGTTGACTGCCTTAAATAAATGTTTGATCCACAATAAAATATTCATTTAGTAAGGATACAATGTTCTATAGTGGAAATTTAACTTTATGATATTTCTTAAACTTGTATTTTATAAAATTACTAGACTATGGACAATTCTTTCAATATTCTGTTGAATATCTCCTGACTGTACTTAATTTAAACATATTTTTAACTTGCTTGAACAAAAGTTACTTTTTATATCAGCTCACATGATTATTATGCACAAAGAATACAGCTACATTTTTGTGTGTGCAGGGAAATCATGTGGAAATCACCATTCATTCCGGTCAGCATCACAGTTGCAGTGATATTGAGAATCAATGCAGTTCCCCTCTAATCCACAAGTACACTTTTGAGCATCAGGCAGAGAACCTCCCCAGTAAGTGTATGGTTTATTGGTTCTTCCAACCCACCAGCTCAGTGAGGTTCCATCTGAAAGACAAGTATGAGAAAGATGACATCTATGCTGCCCCATTTCCCCAGTCATCATCTTTTCAGTATAGTTCCCTTTACTTCTAGGCTTAACAAATGTGTGTGTGTGTGTGTGTGTGTGTGTGTGTGTGTGTGACAGAGAGAAAGAGAGAGAGAGACAGAGACAGAGACAGAGAGAATTAAGCTATATTTTATATCAACAAGAACGTGCTTTTCTAAAAATGCTGATTGAACTCCCCCCAATATTTCAATATATAGGTGTGGGGCATTTACCCACCACCCCCACAGTTCCCCAGAGTTTTCTTGAGTGTGAGCAGCAGGAAATATTAGATAGAAGGATTTATTGCTGAGAATCTTGCGGAGATAAACAGATAGAAAATAAAGGATAGCCTCGAGAGGGCCTGGAACCTTTTCCAATGGGCCCCGACTGTCTCTGCCTCAAGGTTTTTATAGAGATGCCAAGGGGTGGAGCAAAAGACTTCCTCCCCCAGCACAGCCAAGTGCAGACCATCTCAGACACCTGCACTCAGGCCTGTGGTCCTAATCATCCTCTATGCGGACCTGCTGGGTAAAGCCACGAGGAACCCGAGAACGGGCTCCCACATATAGGCTTCATTGGTTCCCACTTATTTTTCTTTATTAGAAAATGAATCTTTGCCGGGCGGTGGTGGCGCACGCCTTTAATCCCAGCATGCGGGAGGCAGAGCCAGGCGGATCTCTGTGAGTTCGAGGCCAGCCTGGTCTCCAAAGCGAGTTCCAGGAAAGGCGCAAAGCTACACAGAGAAACCCTGTCTCGAAAAACCAAAAAAAAAAAAAAAAAAAAAAAAAAAAAAGAAAATGAATCTTTAATTTCTTTGTACACGAGATTGTACAGTCTCTAGTGAAGAACATTAAAAAATTCAAGCCATCTAAACAAAAGCCAGACTAATTTACAAATTGAAATGATTCTGTTTGAAAAAAATAAGATGTTCTCTCAGCTAGATAAATGTTCTTTACAGAGACTCAGCTCAATCTTACCATTTTTTTTTTGTCTTGAGAACACTCCTATATATTAAGCATTTGAGAAGGTATGATATCCCTGTCAGGACTTAAACCCTGCTTTTATATGTATACGTTTTTCTTGTATTGTGTGGTCTGGCTATTTATCTGTAGGGTCAAGAAATGTAACTGATGGGTCTTCTTTATGTCTTAGGTAATACTATTCTCAGAAACCAGTGGTGCAGATGCTCAGGCCATTCCTCAGCACTAGGTGTGACTGAAACAGATCCAGATACTGTATTTATTCTCTAAAACCATGTACTAAGACAGGAAATATTACTGGGGATAAAGTAGGGTGCATTCTATAGTGCAGGTAGGATGGTTATACAAGTAGGTGGCAAGGACCTTCTCTCAGAAACAAGGGTGGGCATGGAAGTGGGCAAATGACAGTCATTAAGGCATGAGATCACAAGAAGCAATGGGACTGGGTTAACTCAGGAAAATTCCCAAACTTGCTCTGCTTTATTTGGTGCCACTTTTCAAATTTATGTGTTGTCATTACTGGGCTTTGAGTTAGGGTCCAAAATGATTCCAGCTTCTACATTCCTGTCTATTACAATTCAATTACAACTCATTCATCAATAAGATCTATGTGCTCTAATTGCTACCACTTTCATCTACCTACTCCCCAAAAGAAAGACATGGAAAGTAAAAAGTGGTTCTGTTTAGTTTGTCAAGAAATAAATATCTAGAACATCAAACACTCATCACTATGAAGTAAAAGTTATGCTCTTCTCAGAATACTATTTTAAGAAAACTATCACTACACTTGCATGATGTAGAGCAAAATCTTATTATATCCTAAATATACAAGAATAAATTTACATCTGAAAAAGGAATACATTTTCAGAGATAGTTAATGTCTGAGTTTGTTCAAAAGCAGTGGTTCTCAACCTGTAGGTCATGACCCTTGGGAGTTGAATGACTCTTTCACAGAGGTCGCCTAAGACCATCAGAAAACACAGACATTTACATACAATTCATAACAGTAGCAAAATTACAGTTGTAAAGTAGTAACAAAAATAACTTTATGGTTTGGCGTCACCATGATATGAAGAACTGCATTAAAGGGCCACAGCATTAGGAAGGTTGAGAATCATCGCTTTAAAGTATTATAGAGAATTTAGGAATACCAGCAAAACTTTCATCATCAATGGGGAAATCCTCCATAGGCCCCACCCCTTATTGAGCAGCTACTGGCAGTGAGTAGTTGCTGAGGGAGAAGAATCATTCTTTCTGAAGGTGTGACTACTGCTCTAGTCTACAGTATCATACCCTTACACATATGGAGAGTACTAACTGAACTTAGAGGGTTATATTTTAAAAATCAGTCAGGACATGGGTATAGGAAATGGGAGGAACTGGAAAGTGGGGAATAGATATGATATTTCATTGTATACATGTAAAATTCTCAAAAATAAAGAAATATTATAAAAAGTAAAAGAGAACCTAGAGAATAATGACAAAATTTAAGGGATATTTCTGGACTGGTGAGGACAGAGCAGATGGATCTGTTTCAGAAAATCCTAGAATTAATACAAAAGACAATCAGCAGAGACTCTGAAAGGTGGAAAGAAGAGGTTAGATGGCTGTGACCCCAGAACTGGAGGAAAACTATTGAGGCTTATACAGGGTCTCATTACAACTCCTTTCCTGTACTAGGAAAGCTTCTCAGAGAGAAGAAACTGAAATAACACTGACATCTAAACGAAGATCATTAGAAAGGGATATGTGAGGTCAAAACAAAATAATCTTTTTATTCTTGATTGATATAGTAGATAACAGCTAATTAAAAATAATATATTAATGAAGTATTGGGTGGATAAAAATTATGGGTAAATGAAATTAAATGATTGCAAAGTAATGAGATACAATAGAGAATCAGCATTATCAAATAGATTAGTGCTATTTGAAAGCAGACATAAATTAGTTATAAAGTATAATTCATGTCCAAAGGTAATCAATTCAAAATTCAAAAAAATGTCTGTTAAAAGAGAAAAAAATGGAATCAGATACTCAGTCAAAACAAGATAAATAGAGGAAGGATTTCAAAACAGAAGAGGGAGAAGCTGGAGAAATGGCTCAGACATTAAAGGCGAGGCTCACAATCAAAACAAAAGGGGAAGGAAAGAAAATTAACACAGCCAGGTACAGTGGTACATGCTTGGGATCCTAACACATGGAAGGTAGACTCATGTATTAGGCATTCAAGGTCAGCTTTGGATACCTAAAGTTCTTTCTCAAAGACAAACAAAAACAAAAAAGGGACACCTGCTGAGTTTTGATTATGGTTTGTCTCTCTAAGATTCCTATTAGGGATGCTGAATCCTCGCTCAGTACTCAGCATGGCACTGTAAAAGCTAGTGTGGCCTTGAAGAAATGGGGTCTAGAGGGAGGGCCTTGGGGTTGCTGCCTTTTAACTGATTAAGATGATTCTCATGGGATGTCAGATTAATTCTCATGCAAGCAAGCTATTCTAAAAGAAAGGATGACCACTGAATCTCTTTCTCTGGTTTCTTGTTTGGTCAATATGATCTCTTGTTCCCTGCCCTTACCCACATACACTCCCATCATAATACAGTCTGTTTTGGTGTTATATAGTCAAGAGGGATCTCATCAGATCTGAGTGAAAGCTGGTGGCATACCCTTGAACTTCCAGGATTGTGAGTTCTATAAAACCTTTTTTCCTTGTATTCAGCCTTATAGTATAGCACCCTTGTATAAAGATGAAAATAGAATGATAGAGTAACAAATAGAGAAATAGTTTAAGCACAGTGTCTAATATGTCAACTAAAAGACAGAGACTGTCAAGAGTAGATAAATAAACTCACAAAGAGCAAATCATTAAAAGATGAAACTTTGTGCTGTCTACCAAAATTCCTTTTAAATGTAAAATGAGTGTTAGAAGTACAGATATCTATACCAATCTAATAGAAAATGAAACTAGAGGTCAGGAAAATGATTCAGTGAGTGAAGTGCTTGCCACACAAGCATCAGGACCTAAGTTCAGATCCCTAGAACTCATGTAAAGGTTGGTGTCTTACGCAAGATTTCTATTGCTGTGAAGAGACACAATGACCACTGCAACTCTTATAAAGAAAAACATTTAATGAGATGGCTTACAGTTTCAGAGGTTTAGTCCATTATCATGGCAGGGATCATGACAGCTGGGAGTATGATGATGTGCAGGCAGACATAATGCTGGCTACATATTTATCAGAAGACAATAGGAAGTGAACTGTCTCACGGGTGTGGCTGGAGCATATATAAAATTTCAAAGCTTGCCTCCACAGTGACACACTTCCTCCACCAAGACCACACCTGCTTTAAGAAGGCCATACCTCCAAATAGTGCCATTCTCTTTGGGAGCCATTTTCTTTCAAACCACCACAGCTGGGTATGGTTTGTAACCCCAACAATGAAGGGTGTGGAGATAAATGGACTCACTGGCCTGCCAGTCTAGTCAATTGGTGAACTCAAGGTTCAGTGTAAGACCATGTCTCAAAAAAATTAGAGGAGAACAATCAAGAAAGATATTCAGTGTTAACTTTGACCTCAACATGCACATGTATACATGCCAATGAACTCCCCTCAAAAGCTAGAATAGCTATATCAATTTCAAAGACAGTTTCAGAGAAAGGAAAATCACCAGGAATAAAGATGAGTAAGATACAATGAAAAGGGGTCAATTCTCCTATGAGACATAGTAATTTTAATGTGAATTCTTCTAGTAACCAAAGAGTGTAAGTCAAAACTTATAATTTCAAGGATATATAGACAAACGTACTCCAATACCTGGAGACTTGAACACCCCTCAGTCATAATCAACAGATTCAGCTGACAGAAAATCATTAAGAACACGTGAAAACTTGTTGTGGGATGGTCTTACTGTATGCTGTGAATATATGTTGTTCCCATTGGTTAATAAATAAGCATCTTTGGCCTATGGCAAGGCAGCTTAG